CAGGTTAAAATTTAATATTATTTTATTAATGACTACTTGTACTATTAGATTAATGATTTGAACGTCTTAAAAAAATAATATTATTATATTCAATCTATTTTTAGAAATAGTGACATTTCTTTTATAAGATAGTATATATATATATATATATATATATATATATATATATATATATATATATATATATATATATACTAGTTGGGTATTCGCGCATTGCAACGGTCGGCGATTGCTGGGGCGGTGAATAGTTTCATTTTAATAGCTAGTTTTTATTCAGTGGTGGGCGGTCGATTAAATAGTTTTCCTTCGGAAAATAGTTTATTTTCGAAAATATATTATATTATAAAATTGCTCTTAATTACAAAATGTGAGTAATTTTTTATTATGGATAAAAATGAAAGTGCCCAAGTATTTTGGGTAAACGGTGAAAGAACATCTTACTAAAAAATGTGCATTTGGTATTACTTTTTTGGACAATTTAGCTGGTTGGTTTTGTGTTTCTTGGAATTTTGTTTTAGTATGATACTAATGGTCATGATTTATGGAGATAACGATTAGTTTCACGTTGGACGATTAGTTTTTCTTTGGGAAATTATTTTTCATTCAACAAATGCAATCAGATTCATTTATGTTTGTTCGTTGTTATCGTTTATGTTGGTTTGTGTGTGTCCATTTATATTTGTTTATGTTTGTCGATATTTATATCCTAATTTTATTCTGTATTGAGGAACGTTGGATACCATATTTTTATAAATCAAAATCTAACAAATCTATATAAAACGATAATCAAATTTTGTAACTTATAATGATAATATAGATGAAACGTTCATTGGTTCATTTATTAATACTAAATAAAATAAAATTGCTTATGTAATAATAATATAATGAAAAGATAATCAAAATTTGTAACTCATAAGGAGTAGAAAATATTCTCGCATTAAGTTACTCTGTACTTAATAATATTGTTTAGAGTAAATTACTAAAATCGTCCCTATGGTTTGGTTAAAATAACATGTTTTTTTCCTAACTTTTTTTTTGCATTCGGATCATCTTTGTGGTTTGTTTTTGTTGTATTTTTCGTTCCTATGGTTTGGTCAAATTTGCACGTTTGATCCCTAACTTTATATATGTAAGGAACGAAAAACACAACAAAATCAAACCACAAGGACGATCCGAGTGCAAAAAAAAAAAAAAAAAAAATTAGAGACCAAAATTTTGACCAAACCATAAAGAAGATTTCAGTAATTTACTCTTTTGTTTATGTTAAAATTATATAGTATTTATGTTTGGGGTTTTTTAGAATTATAAATTGAAAGAACTAAGTAAAGAAGAAAGAGATAAAGCCACCTCATTTGTTAACAACAATTCATCATTTCATGTTAGGAAATGGCATATGGTTTCCCATTTATTACACCTATCTATCATATTTATTAAATTTACTAAAATTGCGTCGATAACATAAAATTTTATAGGTAATACATAAAGATCATATTTGATATATTTGTTAATCAATTGTTACGTAATTAATAAAATATGAAATAATTATAGTATAAATTCATAACAAGACACATGAAGAAATATACATTCACAACACTACAACAAATGCATGAACAAATATTTTAAACAAACACAGCGTATTAATAACAACATATCAGAAACATAAATGAACTTACATATCATTATATATTAAACGAAAAGAGCAAACAACATATAATAATGTAATTACTATGTTACAACCCTTACAAACTATGAGTAAGAAAGAAAAAGAATATTGATGATTAAAAATGATAATATAAAATATTAAAATAGTTTATTGAAACCATGATAGTAAAAAGTTATTTTGTAAATAATAATATATACACAAATGAATTTAGATTCAGAAAAAAAAATTGAATTGAATATTGAATGAAGGATGGGTATAACTAAAAATTCACTTTGATGTAAAATGTTTGGTGGAAATGATACGTGAACAAAAGGTTTCATTTATTAAATAAAAAAAGATATGTATATTGGTTTTCTTTCTTTCCAAAGCTCCAACCGATTTTGGTTTTCTTCCTTTCCAAGCACCAAACACATCGTTATGTGTTTTAGTACTTTTCCAAAATCCAATCAAAGAAAATATGAGCAATTCGAAAACATAAGAACACATAATTGGGTTAACCTCGTATTATAAGAATATCTTGGTAAAGACTATATACATAAAGTAGAGAATGCCAGCATGGTGGTGTCGACAGATGTTGGGCCGTTGGTAAAGGAAAGCAGCAATGGAGAACAAATTCAAACAAAACCTTCATAAATCAAAATCTAAAAATAAAATTGAAGAAAAACGTATCTACATTCAAATCTGGGTAAATATTTGAATACAAATCCACGAAATATCATTTTGAAATTCTGATTCAATGATTCAATTACCAAATTTCAATTACAAGTCATTAATACCGCTTCATTATTTAGCTAAAAGTATTTCATGATATTAACTAACTACCAAAAAAGAAATGAG